GGAACTTGATCCCAGGATCCTGGGATCGTGACCTGAGCAAAAGGTAGACACTGAACTGACTGAGCTACCCAGGCTCCCAATAGATTCCATTTATCGAGTAATGTGCTCTATGTTTTTCATATGTATTATCTCATTTGGATTCTATTTTCATAACAACTGCAACCGGTAAGTAGTATTACTATTTCTACAGGGTTCATTCCTATTATAAGTTCTTATAAGTTCTTTTTTTTTTTAATTCCATGTTCAGACTAAATAACTGTGGAATAGTGTATAATTCCCTGAACTTCCCAAGGAAGTTAAAGGAATCAAAATAAACTGAAAAGGAAACTGCGGTGCAGAGTACCTGACAGCTTAATTCCTAAGCTTACACTCTTGGTCACTGTACGTTCTCAATCTTCTCTCCCATCTACCCATCCATCCATCTACCCTCCAACCATCCACCCACCCATCCATCCATCGATTCATTCAGCCATCTATCCATCCCCCCAACCATCCATCCATCCATCCATCCATCCACCCACCCACCCACCCATCTATCCAGCCACCCATCCATCCATCCTTCCACCCATCCATCCTTCCACCCATCTATCCTTCCATCCATCCATTTGGACATACACCTTTCTGACTATATCCTTATCCACTTACAGATGTAATTCTTTTTTGAGTGTGGGGGGTTAGATTAGATAATCTAAAACTTTTCTTCCGGGTCTTAGGTTCTATGAAGTATAATTCATCTTAGACTAAATTGTGTTTATTTTGGGCAGGGTGTTTGACTTTCTAATTAAGCTGCTTGGATTCATTTTAACATATGTTTCAGAGCTGGCATGGGTCTAGGAGATAGCCCAGTCCAAGTTCGCCATTTTGTGAGTAAGACGAAGTGACTCACTAAAGCTCATCCGGTCCAGAGCTTTGCCAGGATACCATTCTGTTTCAGATTATTTTTGAACCATGGCTACATGGCGAGTGCTGAATAAGGACAATGATACAGATAGGCTAGGAGCAAGAGGGAATGGCAGCCTGGAATCAGAACATCATCTGGTTTTTACCTCACTTATATGCCAAGGGCCAATGATGACAATGATGATGATGGTGGTGGCAATGGTGATGAGGCAATGTCTCTTGTGATTCACTGGGCCCTTGTATCAAAAGGGATATGGATTCTTGCTTCCTGCCAACTAATGCCTGATTCATTCCTGAAAGATGCCTACCTCGTTTAAAATGTCCCAGGAAGCTTGAAACCTAGTCTCTATCTCTTCCTGATTTGAGCCATCGTTCCCTCCTGTTCTGTGTGTTTATTCTTTTTCTCCTTTTTAAAAATGAATACCTATAGAATAGCACATAGTTCCCTGAACCACACAGCAAAAGGAAGTTGAGTGAAGCAAAAAAAAAAAAAGTAAAGTACATGTTCATGGGCAACAAGACATTGATGATAAATCGAAAGCTGGGTTTGGAAATAAAGATGCTGGCTTCACTGAGACACAAACACCATATTCACACAGATCCCTTTCTTTCCCAATTCCAGGAATCCTGGCGTGGGTGAAATTGAGTCACCCGGAGGGGTGCCAGAACCTAGTTGGTACTTTGGACTTTTACTTGCAGCAAAATCTCTCCCATTTCCTCTCAGAGCTGAATTGGTTGAGCTCTTGGCTTCCAACCCTGTCTCCATTTGGTCCCCTTTGAGAAGGAAGAAATAAGATGCAGAGGACAATACTATCATTTATCGAGTATCTATAGTATATCAAGCACTGAGTTTTACATATTTTATGTCACTTATTCACCTCAATGATATTGAAAGGGTGGTATTATTATCCTCATTTTACAGATAAGAACTCCAAGGTCTGGAAAGTTAGAGCGCCAGCCCCAGGGTTCCCAAATTGGCAAGTGATAGAAGTCAAATTGAGCCCAGATCTATATGCTTTATAGTCACTCACATGAGGAAAAGAGCATGGCTCCTCAGATTCTGAGTTGGACATGATTTCTCCTGCTCGTCCCACTGGTCTCCACCTTCTCTAGTCTGTGAGTTTCACCTTTTGACAGTATGACTCTCCTCCTCCTACACATATGATCACGGATCAGGGATGGAGTGGTTCGTCTTCCATGCTCATACAGATTGTAGATCTTAAATCTTCAGCTCAAGCTTTAACTCATAACATCAAGTAGGGTGTGCTCTCCCCTTCTTCACCTGCCCTTTCTTCCATGGAATTAATACCTTCTTTTGTACACGTGTGCAAAGTCAGGTTTCAAGGCGGCCTCTGGCAGACCATACTTCCCATGATGGAGAGAGGCACCTGCGACGTGACTGGGCCCCTCCCCTGACTTCTGTGTAGGCTAGCGCTTGGCCCCTCCACACCAGGACAGGGTACAGCACCCCCAGCGTAATACAAGAGGGGTGATTCAGCTGTCAACACACTTAAGGGCACAGATCCCACCAGGCCAGGCTGAGAAGCCAGCTCCCCTCTTGGTAGATAGTGTGTTCCCAGTAGCCTCAAGACTGCAGCAGGCTAGAGCAGAGTTACAAGGCCAAGTGGTAGTAGAGCTGTCACACAGGTTTTTGAAATCAAAGGAATGACCTTTACAAACTTCCATCCAAAATCAAGAAGGGACACACACAACAGTGAGCCCACTCTTGCCTCCACCTCACTGGTCGAAGCTGAAAGAAGAGCGGTCCTCCATGGAGAAATGAGGCTGGATAAAACTCCTCCCGTGGGTCTAGCCTCACCTTCAGGATGGCAGATGTCCCTCTTCAAAATGAGGACGGCTGGGTTTGGGTTGATATCCTATTCTTGAATCGCAAAGACTATCCTAAGAGTCAGACACGCCCTCTAGAGGGTTAAGGACCTGGGGAAGCAGGAAGGGAATTGCTCAGGGAACGGGCATGTCACCAGCTGAGGTATGTTTGTTGGAGACGTTACCTTTACCTGGGAGTAAGGATTTAAGAGGAGAAACTCACCCACCTGGGTTGATGCGAGGGCCCCCAGTTTCCTACCATGTCTTACTTTATGGGTAGCACCGAGTTTCCCTATCAATCAAGCAATAAAAAAAAAAAAAATAAAGTGATCGTTCCTAGGTCCTCCTGAAATACGCACATGAAACAGTTGAACCCAACACAGCATGTGTCAAACAGTCCTCCAGAAGGGGGCCTTCTCTCTCTGGGGGAGTCTGTAATAAAGAATGGCTTGGCCAGTTCTGCGAGTCCCTATCAGCTCTGACAGACCCGGTCCTGACCCAGGGCCAGGGAAGCCGCAGGATTTTGGGTGTGTGTGTGGGTGAGAGTGTATACAGAAACCGTCACACCCACACCCCACATACCATGACAGGGTGGAGCCATTTGTTGTCTGTACCTTAATCTTTTCATCATTTTCAGAAATACTATGCTTTGACAATGCTCGGTCCCTAAGGACGCAGCCCAGAAATGCTCAGCCGACCTAATAGACACCTTTCCAATAACAGTTCCCCTTATCTGCCCCTCATATCTGGGGATCCTACCTCCCAACCACAGCCACGAATGATATTTATTTCCTTAGGGGAAGCAGGGGTCATGTCTAGCTCTGTCTGATTTCCAAGCGTGTATCCACAAGCCCATACCACCCACTCCTATTACCTACCCTTTCTTGGCATTTTGCCATGTTGCACAACGTGGTCAGGGAATTAGGGTTCTAGTAAGTTATTAAAGTGCTACTTTCCAAAGACATCGTAGAAAAAACAACACTCAGTATGGTCTTGAACAATGTTTAATCTCTGATGTTTGAGAAGACACTTCAGGATCTTGAAGGGCCTGAGGGTTGAGCCTTTGACAGTGACCACAGATCCTGAGGGTGCCACGTGAGAGAGGCGGCACGCAGCGTGGAATGAGAAGCCGGGGACCCCACTCTGTTACTGCATGGTAGAGTGACCACGGATAAGCTGCTTGCCTTCCCCAACAGTGTGGGACAGGAGAAGCTCATCCTAAGATTCCTCCCAGCTCTGATAGTCTGTGAATAACTTGCAAAGAATGTACTGGGTTGCCTTCCTATAGAAACGGAAAAAAAACTACATGCAGTAGTCAGTAGCAGGGATAAAGGCCTCAGATAGCTCTTCGGAATTTCTCAAGATTCAGGGCTTAGACTCCCGTCTCTGCACTGGCCCAGCCCTGGGGTCAGTCCTGTGTGGGCTGAGGTAGGGAGCAGGAGATCAGGAATGGCAGAGTCAGGGACCACCACTCGGTTTACGCTTCCAAATTCGTCAAGCCCACAGACCAGGATAGTCCTTGGTAGAAGCGTGCTGGGTGGTCACTTGTCCTGCCTTCTCAGGCCAACCAGAGCTCTCCCACTCCCAGTCCTCAGAGAGTTTTAGTTACAGGGATGTGCCCTGTCCCTGGGACTGGGGACAGTGAGAAGGGGACAGTGAGGACAGTGACTGTCACTGGGGACAGTGACGAACCTGCTCCTCCAAGCCACTGTCCAGAAGTTCAGAAGCGAGAGAGGGATCCCGCAAGGTAAACCAGTCCCTTTCCATACCAGGATTCCGGCAGACCCACATTTCATAAGACCCTGCATTTGCCTAATGTCGCTGGCACAGCCATGGTCTCATCTGCCTTTTTTTCTCAGGCTTAGCCACCCTGTCCCCTCAGTTCTGGCTGGGCTGAACTCTCCCCGGGGTAAGACAATCTCCAATACAAGCAGAACTCTGAGCAATGACTCCTTGTGTCGTATAAATAGCTTCAGTGATATATATATATAGCCTATAGTACACACGCACGCACGCGCGGGTGCACACACACACTCTGTCTCGTGGAAATCATCTTCGGGATGATTTGGGCAGGCACTCACTGGCACAATCACTCTGAATATAAACGTATGTGTGTGTCTGGAATCCCATCTCTCCCTGCCCTTTGCCTCAGAGAGAGGAGCGCACTGGAGGGAAGCCTGCTCGTGCCCAAGCTCCGAGCTGTTGTGGGGGAAAGGCCCCGAGCCTCCTCCTGTTTGGCAGGGATGAGGCGGGGGCTGTGGGGTGGCTGGCGACTACTCCTTCAACAGTCCCAGCTTCTTCAGAGCTTCCCTTCTGTGCTCATTGGGGACGCCTTTTGGGGAGATCCTGACACTGACATAGGGGGGTCGAGGCAGCTTGTCAGGGCTCTGTCCTTGGTAGGGCAGGTGCCTGCTGCTCTGCTCCTGCTCCTGATTGGCCAGCTTGCCCACCTGGATGCCTGCAAAGTCCTTCCCCGTGCCCAGGGAGGCAGGGCGGGGCCGTGAGTTACGTAAGACATTAGGAGACATCTTGTCCAAGAAGGAGCCTTTGCCCAGAGAGGTGCTGGTTTGGGGGCTGGGGTCTTTCTCAGCCGAGAGGTAGCTGCTCAGCCCCACGCCCGAGCGCTCCAGAGTGTTGGACTTGAAGTTCATCTGTCTCAGGCCCGGGATGTTGCTCTCCTGGAGAGTCAGCCCTGAGTCTGACTTTGGCTGAGTCAGGGGCTTACTTACCCCCGGGGCCTTAGGGATAGGAATTGGCACAGATTTGGCCGCTGGAACCTTCCCTGGAGTGGGTTCCTGGGCTTGAATCCATCCTTTGCCTGGAGGAGACCCCTGAGCTGGAGTGGGAGTCGGAGCTTTCCCCGGGGTGGTTCCCCGCGGCGGAGCTGGGGCTGGAGCCTTTCCTCCAGCAGGTGCGGCGGCTCTGCCCTGAGCTGGAACTGCAGGCCGAACTGGTGCTGGAGTCGGAAGGGGGGCCTGGAGCCAGGTGGAGCTGGTGCGTTTACTTAAGTGGGAGCTGGGCTCGTCCTGGTCTTGGGGTAGCCCCAGCTTCTCAAGTGCTTCTCGGCGTGCCTTCTTCTGCTCCTGCAGTGAGGACGGGGCCAGGCCCGGGTCTCCAGGGCCGGCCTCGGTGTGGCGGGCCAGCCAGTTCTGGGGCTCGCTGTGGAAACTGCTGCGACTGCTTTTCAGAACGATATTGGGGGGCAGTTTCCGGGGCTTAGAGGCTGTGAGGGGGGCCAGGTGGGCACCGGGGTCCCCCCCTGATGGGACGGGAGCATCTTCAGCTCTCATATTCTGAGACGAGGTGGAGGTGGCTGGAGGAGGCCTAAGCTGTCCTGGGCCCCCTGTTGAGCCTTCCTCATTGGCTTTTTGGGACATGGCCTCTGAGGAAGTCTCCTTGCTCTCCTGGGGGCTGAGTGACGTGTGGGTCTGCTGCCCGGGCCCTGTGGGCAGGCAGCCTCGCTCCTGCCGCTCGGGCTGGGTGTCCCGGAAAGCCTCTGGTGGAGGGATGGGCACTGTGTCCAGGGCTGAAGCAGGTGGCTGGGGGCTGGCCAGAGCCTGGCTGGGCTCACTGCTTTGGCTGACCTGCTCTGTCTCAGGCTCCGGGACAAGGCCTTCCACTGCCCCCGGGCTGTGGCTATGAGTCTGAGTGGTGCTTTTCCTGAGGTTCTGGTTGATGCTGATGTGGATATTTCTGGGAAGGCTATAGGACCCAGACCTGAGGCCCAGGTCTTGGAGCTCAGGAAGATAGGTTGAGCTGGGCTGAGTCCCTCTCCTTGGCTCTGTTTCTTGCTGAATGATCTTCTCCCCTGGATATCCTGCAAGGGGGCAGGAGAAGAGGCAAAGAAGAGTGGACAGAGGTGAGAACCCTGTTGCCCCCTGAAAAACAAATGCTTCCTGAACTCTGATCTCCACTTAGCAATGGGTTTTGTTTTTTGTTGGTTCTTTGCTTTTAAAGGGGCCTCACTGTTGCCTGGATATCATTTAGACCAACAGATGTACACCAGCGGATTCCCTACAACCATGAATTCGTTTCTCATGATGGTTGCAGAAAGAGCAGCCTCACGTAACTCCATGTCCTTGCCTTGAGCTCTTCCTAACTGTCTACAGAGAGAGCAGGATTAGAAAGGGAGTCAGGACAGCCCCTCCAACTATCCTGAGGCTCCCGGGTCACTGAGTCCAGGGGAAGCACTGAACGTGAATGGCAGTAACAGCTGATGTGGTTTGTCCAGACCTCTGCCTTCCTCCACCTTCAGTTTCTTTCTTTTTTTTTTTTTCTTTTTTCAGATTTTATTTATTTATTTGAGATAGGGGAGGGGGTAGGGGAGAGAACATGTGCCGGGGGAGCGGCAGAGGGAGAGGGAGAAGTAGACTCCCCACAGAGCAGGGAGCCCTATGTAGGGTTCCATCCCAGGACCCTGGGATCACGACCTGAGCGGAAGGCAGATGCTTAACTGGCTGAGCCACCCACGGGCCCCCACCTTCAATTTCTATAAGCACCTGAATGATTCTGTGACACCACAGCTGTCCCCATACCAGAGAGTGACATGGGCTCTTTCCTTCCAGCAAGCTAGGCAAGTGCATCAGGCCCCCTGGGCCAGGGAATCAGTCTCAGCGGGCAGAGAAGTCCTTGCCCCCATTTCCTGTTCTATCTCCACAGAGGGTCTAACACATTGTCAATCGGTATTTGCTAAATGAATGAATATGTGGTTGTGGTCCCAATACCAGTGGGGCTGTCCTCAGGAGTAAAGTGCCCCCCTCATTCTGAGACAGTCATGGCCACACTTGCGTGCCATCCTGTCCCCCTTTCTACGGAGCCTCAATACCACTGGCTTTCCACTCTTGCGCAAGAGCCTTGAGGTACCACCCACTGAAGTTAAGGGAGGGCTTCCTCTTATCTCTTGCAACCTGATCCTCCTGGGTCATCCCGATTAGGTCTCCAGGCTCGCTTAGTGTCCCCAGAGCCACCACCCACCCCTCCCAGAATCCCTCCCCCACCTCTGTGGTCATGTCTCTTTAGAATTTCTCTGTGAGAGAATGGGAGCTGGCCAAACCCTTTTCCCTCCCAGGCCTCTGATACTTCATAGAGAGACAGACAGCTGGCTTGTCCTCAGTCCCTCCTCCTCTCCAGGGCAAGACCTTAATTCTAGCCAGGAGAGCGGAAAGGAGTGCTGTTGTCCTTCCGCCCGTGACCCTTAGAGCAGAGGGCAAATAAGGTGCAAAGCAGCCGTAAAGATGTACTGGTTTTCTGGATTTGCGAAAGGTGTCACCCCAGAAGGTCTCTCTTACCCTGGGGAGCAGGCTGGGTTATGGGCAGAGCTCGGGGGCCTTGGGGAGCTGTGTCTTGCTCAGACTCGTCAGTAGACAGTCCGCTGTCAGCCTCAGTGTCCAGTGAGCCGATGGTCTCCTCCAGGAAGAGCAGACACTCTTTCTCTTCAGCGGACAGGAAGTCGTAGCTGCCGTCACTCTGGAATGAGGCGTGGAGAACAGAGAGGGAGAGGGAACTGTGAGAGGCAGCTCCACAGAAACTGGTGGGGCTGAGAACCACCCTGCGTCCTGAAGGAATGCTGAAGAGCTGGAAACCTTTCTGAGAGGCTTCTCCGCAAACCTGTGGGCATTGCTTTCTGAAACTGCAGGCACGGACCGGGCAGAGGCTGCCGAGCTGTTGGCCCGCGAGTTCCCAGTGCTAGGCAGCCAGATGGCAACTGACCTTTTTTGCCCAGTCCTGCGTGGAAAGCTTAGAGGAATAGATCCCAGGTTCTAATTCCAATTCCTCTGTGTGAACTATGTCAAGCATTTCACTTTCTATGTCTCCGATTTAGCTCTAAATTATATGGACAACATAATGATCTGACCTTAAACTTGACGGTATCGTTTTTAACTTTCCAAAGGACTTTTGCATACTCCATCTGGTATGTCAAGGACAGCAGGAGGACAAAAAAGAAACTGCAGCCAACCACTGGCTGTCAGGCCAATGGGAACAGTGGTATGACTAGCCACAGATACATTTACTAAATAATTTACTCTTGACTTTGAAATGCATTTCATACAGGATTTTTTTTCCTTTGTGTATTTACTTTCTTGATGGCATTTGGCTCTGGCTAACATTCAAGTAAGTGTGCATTTCTTAAGCAAATATTAACTTGAAGCGGGGAGGGTAGAGAAACTGGATGGGTATGGGAGGAGGAGAAAGCAACTTAGTGTGAAATATCAAGAAGCTATTAAAGTAAATAATTGTCATGATGAAAAAGCACATAGGGGTATTTGGAAATAAGTGTTATGGCCATTTTAAATGGTTATTGCTTATGTTCTACAAGGCTGGCAAGATCCAAAGAAGAGTCGCTCTATGAAGTTGAAGGTTGAAGGGAAAACCAGAAGGGAAATGGAAATGTGAGAAATTTGGCTTGAGTCCCTTCCTGGCATGAATCTCAAATCTCTTCCTAATATTTGAGATACTTCAGAGTTATATATTTCCAGACCCAGTCAGATGGCCAGGGAAGATTTCGAGACAGCCCTAAATACATCCTGGGAGATGGTTGTTAGAACAACACTACCAGTTCCCAGAGCTCCTTAAAGAGCCATTGTCGGTTGGCAAAAACTAGGCTTACATATCATAGGAAGCCCCAGGTATAGCCTTTGGAAGCCCTGAAGTCAATTCCAAGGGTTCCCTGAACAAAATCTTCTTCATTGCCCTTTTCTTCCTAAAATAGCCTTGCCAAAGATTAGCCAACTCTGAATTTCTCCTTTGTGGATGAAGCACTTTGAAAACCTATAATCCCTGCCACATTCTGTGTCCGGTGGTATGGAACTGCCCATACTGGCCTCAGCCTAACAGAAACAGAAAGAGGTCTCTGGGGTCTTATCTTCTCAGGTCAAAAAGAAATGATATACAGGCTGTCTGCACTTTGGATTGCGTGTGTGTGTGTGCGCGCGCGTGTGTGTGCGCTGCTTTCTCTATTCGATTTTTACATACCAAAACTCACAGACTATATTAACCATCCTTGACATTTGGGAGAGATCCTTATAATCCTTTAATTTCCAAGTAGCTCTATAGGATATAAAGCAATAGCGTATAAATTCTCAAGGTTACTATGTATGTGATGAACACCAAGAACCAAAGAATGCCTACGTTCGGACGTTCGGCGGACTTGACTCTTTCACAGCAGCCTTAGAGCAACTGAGATTTAAATTCAGTTGCTGTACTACATGTACTATATGTGCTACATGTAATACATGGCATGTACTACATGCCACTCTCTGTTAAACACGATGACTTTGGAAGATTTGGAATCTCTGCTCATGGAGACAGGCTGTTTCTTTTCCACACAGAGGCACGTGCTATGCGCTGTCTGTGCCTGTCCTGTACTCTTCCAGAGGACCCTATGAATTCGCTGTTTACATTATCCCCACCCTAAAACCGAGGAGACTCAAGTTTACAGAAATTAAGTAATTTGCCCAAGGCCATTTGGCTTCTAGTGGAGAATTCAGACCTGCTTGGCTCCAGAACCCAGGCTCCTAAGTACTCTGTTCTCTTTGATCTTCACAGAAGGAATGCGGCTTGCTTGCTGCCGGAGACTTCGGGAACACCAGCGCTCGGGGATCTACCGTCCATCCTTTCCACCGGGACCTCTGATCACGGGCCCTCGCTCTCACCTCACCTTAGCCCCCAATGAATGAAACCTGGGAGCAAGTCTCATCTGCCCTCCTGCTCTCTGGGGGCGGTCCCACTCTATTCTCTAGAAAACCCAGAGTGACTCAGAGGCACAAATGCTCAGGGGTGTGATTCACGCCCTGATGAGGAAGATGAAAGCTGAGGAGCAGTGAGGCTGGCGGGCGGTGGGCAGGGCAGGGCAGGGGCGGGGCAGGCGTGCAGAGAGCAGCAGGACTGAGGGTACAGCAGGACTGAGGTACGTACAGATCCAGAGCGGGTGGACGTGGTGCTCATGATGCTGTCACAGCTGCTGATGCGGGTCACGGGTTCTGAGCCAGGCCCCGCCGGCCACAGCTCGCTCTGGGGCATCGCCCGAAGCAAGGTGCGGGGGGGCGGTGAAAGGGGCTCCCAGAGGGGAAGCGAAGGGAAGTGGAGAATGTCCCAAGCTGGCCTGAAAAGACAAGAATCAAAGCCACGTGTGAGCCGAGCTGAGGCTCTCTGTCAAGGCTCTGCCCAGGCCCTGGAGCAGCGTGACGGCGGGGATGCCCAGCAAGCATAGCGCTGGAAGGGGCCGTGCACAGGGGTCCCCCAAACCTCCCAGCCTGCGTGGAAGGACATAGAACCGGGCTCGCACTCATGCAGAAGGGCGGCGTTAGCGGAGGTGGGGTGGAGAGGGCGGGGTGGCAGGGAGGAGTAGTCTGGTCAGAGAGGAAATTCTATCCCTTCTCCTAGTGGCCTTCTTTCTCTCAATCTGGGGGCTTAACCTACATTTCCATGACTACAAACAATACAGAGTAAGGGGCCCATAGCATGGGTTCTGGAGCTAGTCAGATCTGGATTCAAATCCCACTTCCACCATGGCCAGTTATGGGACTTGAGGCCAATTACTCTTCTACCCCGTTTTTCCCATTAAATTGGGTGAATGTAGGGTTAATGAGAACAGCACAGCTTAGTTGGTAGTAAATGCTCATTTAATGAATAAGATAAGATCTGCTACTGTTCTTATAATAAGAGAAAGACAAGATCCACCTAGGATCAAAATGAATTGAAGTCAGGCAAGAGTTTAGAGAAGAAGGGTTTGGGTTAAGTGGGAGAGAAGGAACAGGGTCCTCAATTGTACCAACCACATAGGGTTGTCAGAAACATGTACCAATAGACTCCACATAAAACACATTGTGCAGTAGCAGTTAGCTGTCATCCAAGCCAACACCATCAACATCAGCCCCCACTCCCACCCCAACCACGGCCACCATCAATCACCTCCCTAGGCCGGGGGGGCACACACATGACCCCAGAGGCTGATACAAAGCCAGTTTCCCTCTTGCGAGCCACCCCTCTGATGTTGTGCTAATTTCCAGTGAGGTTCCCTAACCTTTGTCAAATGAACAAGAGAAACGGCCTACATAGCTTCCTCCTGACTCCAACTCGCAGGGGCAAATAAGTTTCCAGTTCACTGTACCAATAGTAATAGCAAAGGAAGGCAGTACCATCTTCCTTCTGAAAATCTCAAGGTCTGGAAAGGTCCCAGGTGACTCTCTTATGTTAAAATGAAATCCTGGAAGAACTAAGTTTAAAAGACGGTTGCAAGGTCAAGTCGAGAATATGCGGAGAGCTAGAATTGAAATCCAGTTTGTCTGGTTCTGAATCCATATTTTTCCATGACACCATGCTATATTTTCAACTACCTTTCCTACCCTCCCAATCGTAGGTAAAATGTCCTAGCAGTAACGTGTTCTGTTTGAGATCTTGGGACCTGGGGTTTGGATTCTGGGGAGCTTGTCCCTTCAGCTTCTTCCAACAATTGCTTCCAGTGCCAAGTCAGGTTTGGGCTGTGCTGGGTGAATCAGCCTGCCAGCCCTGTAGAGCCGATAAGCACGCGGCCTCATGGTACTCCTCTCCTGCTTTGGAGGAGGCCGGCAAGTGGGGCAGGTAGGGAGGGGCAGGACAATGGGGAAAGAAGAGGAAAATATCCCAGTGAGCCAGATGCATGGAGTTCATAAATATCCAGACCCTCTCAGGAGTTAGAGACAGGACCAGAGGGGACAGAGACACCAAAGAAGCTCAGTGACAAATCAACATTGGGTAGGGCAGTCCTTCAGTTTACTCATGAGGTTACTTTCCCAACCTTAGAACTCCAAAGAAACAGAAACATGAGAAATCATGTGGATGGAGTGCATTCACCTCAGCTATCCACTCCATTCATGACTGTCTAGATCCAGAAGGTACACATTCTTAACATTCTGTAGGGCTGAGGTCCTTACAGCCAAAGAGGTCCATTGCTCATAAGCCTAGGCACACAGAAGGCACTCAAAAAATGCTGGACAAATGACTATTGAGTTAAGCTGTTGGAAGGCCTCCTTTTTTTTCTTTTTTTCTTTCTTTTTTTTTTTTTTACTTTTACCCTATTACTATAAAGTCTTTCCTATGTATTTTATTTCCCTGAGGATATATGGCTCAATGGAATTGGGCCAATGCTTCAGTTAAACTAACATTTATGAGCACCTAGGAGGCATGGAACAAGCAAAAATAATAAGGCAAGGGCATTGTTTCCAAGCTGCCAGTGTAAATCCAAGGGTATAGTTTTTGGCTCTAGTTCTCTTAAAAAGTTTCTGTACAATTGTAATTATTAATTATTAATACTGTACTTAATACAGTAATTATTGATGCTGTATTAATCACTGTAGTTAATATCATATTCTCTGTGAATGGGTGACCAGATGTTGCCTCTTCCTTTCAGAAACAGTTCCTACCCTTGTTCTTCTAAGTACTCTTCGGACTGTACGGTAGCTTGCTAGCTTCTCCTTCCTCCCTGGGCAACCTGTCACACTCACAATTTCGGGACTAAGTAGCTGGAAGTAACTCAAGTAGCTGGAAGAGAGAGAAACAGCATGAACAGCGCTGCTTCAGAAACACACAGCCCAGTATAGCTTACAAAGTGCTTTCAGACATGCTGCTGAGATCTTCAGAAGAGCCTGATAATCGAGGCAAGATGTGATACTTTCTTTTTTGACCGATGAGAAATCTGGAGCTCTTTCCACTTCCCCTTCCACAGGGAAGCAGGGGATGACCTCTCACGGCCTAGATAGGACGCCTCTGGGTCCAGCCCTTCCTGGACTCGAGAGAGCCATGTACCTAAAGAAGGGTCATCAGCCACCCCTGACTAAACACTAAAAGCTCGAAGATCACCCTTCTCTTTCTACTTCACACCTTAAACCCTTGAAATCATCTGATTCTGCTTTATGCTTCCAGGCCAGCTGTATGTCCCCACAATAGATGTTTCCAGAGTAAACAAATGACAACAAATGTCACTGAAGATTGTGTCATCGGGCACTGGGGCCCCTGCAGAGCTGAATCTGAACCTCAACCAAGGCCAAATGAGCCCTAAGGTGCTTGTGTCTTGTCTCCAGGCCTCATTTTCTGATCCAAAGAGCCAGAACCCCAAGAGTCTCCTCTCTACACCCCACCCACTTTGGCCAGACCTGGATGCTGCATTTCCTTCTACCAACTTTACAACCTTGAAACTTGGGGACTGTCTCAGAGCAGCCATTGAAACCTGAGGTATTCCTACCTGATAAGAAGTCTGAGAAACAAGAAAAACACTCAAGGTGAGAGTTTAATTATCTTTTAACCCTTGACCTCTTTGGGGGATTGGAGGGGAGGAGAAAATGGGTTATGAAATAGGCATAGCCTATAGCCAGGGCCATCCGTGCCAAAGCACATTAAACATTAACTACTCCGCTGAAACCAGCCAAGTCTTGGAGGAGAGTAAATAGAGAGCATGTGGGGTTCTGGCATGGGTGGGGGTGCATGGGGTTCCAGCCCCATTCCTCTTTGGCTTCTCTGTATCTTCTAAACAGGCCCAAGGCCCCCTTGTCACCCTCCTTCTGTGAGCCCTCCCCCATATCTCTCAAGAGCTCAACTTCTCTCCGCACTAGTCAAAGAGTTGTCCTTTTTTTTCTCAGACCATGTGCTTGCTGACTATCCAGAAATATGCCTCCAGCTGGGGAACATCTGAAGAAAACTGCCAGGAGGACTAAAAGCTGCACTGCGTGTATATGCTTCTCCATGAGCACATGGCCAACTTTCTGAGTGTGTTTAGTCAAAGTTATAATCTTCTATTTCACAGGTGGGTTTGAGGCAAAGGCTCGGTGGACCTATCTTCTGCACAGAAGAGCTTTGCTAACACTCCAGATTATCTTATCTCTGACAAGTTCACCATCAATGGCAGCCTTCACTCAGTGAGTTTGGTGGGCTGGTTCTGTGGTTTGGGCTCAACTCAAACCAAAAGCTCCAGCTACCAGGACTAGGAAACCCAGCACACTGGCTCGAGGCTGGCAGGTGCCAGGCCCCGGGAGCCTGGCATGGGGGTCTTCCCACTTCGCTCTTTCCTGCAGTAGGAGGAAAAGAGACGCAGTTAGGGACCGGAACGTTAACTCCTCCCTGCCCAAGGTGGATCGTGGAGAGCTGACTTGCTACTCTGAATTGACTTCGACATCCAGCTTCCTTGTGCCGATAACCTGCCACGCACGCTGTTGGCGGCGACTCCCGGAAGAAAACAAAGCCAAGCCACCACGGCAGTCTGGTTCTCCTCTCTGTGGGCTCTGCCACCCTACTTTGGCCCGAGCCCCACTGAGAACGCCCACCAGTTTCAAGGACTACTGTGAAATATTAATGTCGGTGGGCTCCTGGCACAGCCCAGCGAGCGGCTTCCGGTTTGCCAGTCTCTGTGTCTAATAGCAGGCAGAGTCAGAACATTAACTGAGTTGAATCCAAATAAACTCAGCTTTGCACCTAGATTATCCGTGGGTTTTCCAGAGATGAACTGGTAGTCTGAGGTGGGGTTTTCTGAGCCTCACATCGCCTTACAAACAGCCTTACATGCTTGTCCGAAGAGAGCTCTGTTGTCACGGTACCATTACTGAACACACACATACACTGCACCCTTTATTTAAATAAAAATAGACATTGAGTTGATAAAGCCAGGGGGAAATGTCCTGTTAGAAATGGAATGGAGAAACTAAGGCACTTTTCTTTCCTGGGAGAGCCCCCATTTTGACTCCCTGCACTCTATTCTTTTCCAAGAATCACGACTCAATTTCAATTGCTCAGAGATGGAAATTTCCAAAACAAGCCTATTGTATTTTCGTGTTGACTGCAAAATGTGCTTATCCAACTGAAATAGGCAGATGAAAAAAATATGCATCCCAGCCCTGGTCTCCACAAAATCATTCCAGTCTTAAGAAGCTATCAGCCTGCTCTGATCCCAGACTGGACGTACAGAGTTGAGGAACAGAGAGGAAAGCCCCCTGGCTGGGGTGCACAGGGCTCCCCACAACCCTGTGGCTCTCACTTCCCACAAAGCACCCCTTCCTGCTGAAGCATAAGCAATAGTTGGTTAGTGATTAACTCACCTTCACTGGGTGAGGGGCTGAAGAGAGGAAAGAAATACCCTTTTATTTCAAAGGGCAGAGACGGAGACACAGACTGCTTCCCCTGCCTTCCTCTGTTTTCTTCTTTTGACCTCCTCCAGACTTACCTGGACAGGTAAATGCTTCATCTGTGCTGCCCCACCCCACCCTGCCACTGACTCACAGCCAATCCCAGCCTTCCCTCCCTACTTCTCATTCCAGCTGTTTCTGCGGGGAGGGCGGGGGAAGGGAATGGGCAGGGCGGGGCTGCCCTCAGGGAGCCAATCATCTCTTGCCCTCCCCTTCCCCGTTAGAGCCAATTAAAAAAAAAAAAAAAGAAAAAGGAAAGCTGGAAGGTGAACACACACTTTTGGGTTCAGACTGGAAGACGAGAGTTGGCAGGGAAGGAGTAGGCAAAAGATATTATTTTTTTATTTTCAATATAAAGAAACACAGACAGGCAGTGAGCTTTTCTTTGTGTCTTTTTGAAACTTGATTCTCTACCTAGAGCGGCTTTCCTTTACTTGGAGGTTAAGTGGTCTCCCGAATTTTCCGAGTTAAAATCCGCTGTGGCCGGTTTAGCTTTTCTGGCTGTTCAGAAGCACTTTCACCGTCAAGCCTTTTCCTATCAGCTCTTACGGCTGACACCTCCACTCAGGACTGCTAGAAAAGGTGTCTGAGCTTGCTGGAGCTGAGACACCCTTGCCCCACTGCTCGGCAATGACCTTCTTAACCTCATTTATTTCTGGGGGGCATGAAACCATTGTCTCCCCCAAGGGGCCCCTGTGTTGATGAGAAAGTGACTGGACAGCCTTGGGGGAGGGAACATGGATGCTGTCATTTGGGTCTCTGGTCTCTTTTAGCTGTTCCTAGAAGGTAGCAATGAATATGAAGACATAAAAACAAAATAAGGTTCCAACTGTGTAGCCAACTTTCTCTTTCCATAGGCAGACAAACAACCAGAAGAGAATAGGGAGAAGGGAGTAGGTGGAAGAAATCACTGCTTTCAGGGAAAAAACCTCCCTCCAGGTATGGAGGCCACTTTTACCACATAGGACTTTTGCCTGGAAGCTGGTTTTTCCTGGATAGAGGTTATCCTTGATACCAAAAGGGCAGGAAGAAAAGTAAAAATCAAAGCAGATAATAATCGCCAACATTTATTGAGCTCTTGCTATGTACCAGGTATTATGCTGTGCTAAGCATTTTCATGCAACATTTCACTTAATCTTTATTTCAACTTCAAAAGGCAGGCACTAATAATATATAAATTTTATGGGAGGTGAAATAACTTGGAGAAGATCACTAGCTGGGAGGTAACAGAGCAGGGATTTAGATTCAGGCAGCATGACATCAAGCTTGCCGTGCATGGGTATGATGCTAGTCTGCCTCTATTTTGGAGAAATTCCCAAGTAGGATATGTGAAACCCACAGCTAATTTGCAGGCTTAATTCTAACAATTAGATTAATCTTTTCCCATCTCATTTCCGTCTTGTAGCGATTCAAACTCTATTAACAAGATGACACATGCCTTCCATCTTTTCTCTTCCTGTGATCGTGGTTGGGTAGGAAGTAAGAAGTGCAATGATCCTGGGGCCAAGACAGAGAAGAAATGGGGCAGGACTAGTGAGGAGGAAGGAGGAAGTCTGGCATAACCAAGTACCTCTCAGCAGCCTATGGATAACAAGCTGACTGAGCACTGAAGGGTGGTGACCTCTCTTCGTGGTGTGTCACTCAAACATGTATGATGTGATAGTGGTGACAAAACAGGAAAGGCACCTCCATCCACATCAGCAGGAGTTCAGTGCAACTGGAGTTACACCCGTGGATGGAATCACCGAGTTGATCCAGCTTCGTAGACGTGAGATTTGAACATTTGCTAGAAAAATGAATTTGACTTAGGAGCATTAACCTCAAAGATGATAGCACTGTTTTATTTGTGAACGAACACAGCTTTTCAGTTTATAATAAAATTAATATAGTCAGGAAGGGTTCCTATCGTTTCACAGGTAGAACTAGGGACATAGACAAAATGATTGTTCTGTTCCTCTCTTTCCTTTTAGACATACATCTCTTACTGAAAATTATGAAATATTTCCAATACCCTTGCATAATAAACACCACCATACGAACACCCAGTTCAAGAAACAGAACATTGCAGTTGAAGTTACTTCCAAACTTTGCCCCCCCTTCCCTCCTACCTCCTCAAAACACACATATGCCCCCGCTGAAATGAACCACTATCCCAAATTTGATGTTCTTCCTTCTCCATATCTTTAAATGTTTTATCCTGGAATCTTTTTTGCTTTGCTTTTTTTGTTTGTTTTTCCTTGGAAAAATACCGAGTCTCTAAAGGTTTCAAGAGAATTGGAAAGGAGACCTGGACTAAGGGAAAGACAAGCCTTCCAAAATCAGAAACACTTAAAAACTAAGGCTCCACAGTTGATGTAGGTCACCATTTGAGGAGGAAAGTGTCATTGCTTTTTGTATTTGAATTCCTGTCTGATGACCTGTGTGAGGACTAATTAGAATCCAGTTGGCCTGACTCATCTACATCCTTCCTCCTTCTCCCTCCTATATGCTGTTGTGGTATGGTCATCTCCTTGACCTCAAGAGGCCAGTGTATGTTTTCCTTCCTCCGTACAACCTCCTACAGAGGCATCTCATTTCTCCTACACAAGGGCATTTCTCCTACACACACACACACACACACACACACACACACACACACACACACACTACTTCAAAACCAAAATGTACCACAATCATTGGTTAATCTTCCCCTTTTGTCCCTTATAAAATTGAGCTCTCTGCAAAATAGCTGTAGACCTCCATTCTAACCATTCATGATACCTATTCATTTACATTATAGTCACATCCTGTCAGTGTCTCTTTTCCTTTTCCTCTCCAAAGGAAAAATGAAGGGACTTTGAACATGTGTTACCATCATCCTTAAGAAACAAAGGGTGCCCACCAAGTTCACGGTATTGAGCATGATACTATATGCTGGGCCTGAGTGTTTTTCCAACATATCAGGGGAAGAGGAGATTTTATTCCTCAAGTAGTAGCAAGAGCTGGCTTTAAAGAGAAAACAGCTAGGGAAGGGTTCAGATGAGGGTGATTATAATTTGACTATAAGCCATGGAATTGATAGGCCATATTAAGACATTGAATAGATCACCAAGTTCTCACCAAACCGGTATTAATGTTAAGTCTAAAATAATTAGAGGGGAAATAAAGGGTCTAATTAAGTGGGCTGGATGAAGAAATTCTGAAATTAATCATGAAGTAGTTCTTGGGAGTAGATTTTTTTCCTCTCTTTTTTGAGATCAGTATCTCTTTGGCCCACCTACCATGGAAATTTGCAGGATTCAGCAGTCCTTTGCTTTCCAGTGCTAATGAAAGTTTGAGATCTGAGATCATCTGCTAGGATCAGACAGTTTTGCAAGTAATGCCAAATCTTAACATGTTTGAAACTGAGCTCATCTTGTCACCCCACGCTCACCCCAAACATGTTCTCTCTCCCCATGCCAGCTAATTGCATCGCCGTATTCTCACCCAGACTCCGTGCTTCGTAGAAGTCCTCCGCTATCTCCTGTGAGATCATTCCAGCTCTTCCTCCTCCCTATTCTGCTTCAGGACTGCATTAGTTGTGGGGTCGTGGACAATTGAAGATGTGACAAGACTACAGGAATGTCTTGTTTCACATCTTCCATTTTATAGGTGGATTTATAGATTATCTGAGTTCTTAATCCTCTCAATACTTGGATGCATTTTCATAGCATTCAGGATTAAATTCAAAGTCCCCATGTGACAGAGAAAGACCTTCATGAGCAGGCCCTACATGTTTCTCCTCTCACATATTCAGCCATCTTGTTTATTAGTCATATCTAATATTTCTGGAACTACCATGCTTTCATATTTCTGGGCCTTTGCACATGCTGTACCCTCTGCTTGTACACATTCCTTTGAATGAATTCCTGGCTTAGTCTTATCCTTCTTTCAAGTTTCAATTCAAATACCACCTTCTTTTGGAATGGAATGTTACTATAATCTCCTAACACAGCATATACATCTCTGAATTTAACCTACTAGGATATAACTGTCCTCTTTTCTCCCTGTAAAATTTGAATTCATGAAGACCATCAGATATTTCTCGGTGTAACTCCTCAATTGTATTATAGTAGTTATATATTAATGCCAAAACTGATGACGAACATTTTGGAAACTGAGGTGCTTTACTTAAGAAAATTGCCCTAAAACTTCATTTTTGGAGATCGTATTGGTAGACAAGTCATCTACAGCCACAATTTTGCTTATTATTTTTTCTGAATCTTGTTTTTTGACATACTATTACCCTGTACCTTCCCATTCCCGTCACATTTACAAGCCCACTTTCCTTTGCACCTGTTTTCTTCTTCTCTTTTGGTACAACAACAACAAAAAATGTTTTTCCAGTAAAATCCATGTGTGCTCTGGATCTCATCTCACAAACTCTATACTTGCATTCTTCTCTCTTACATTATCTTTCTGACCTTTCTACTAAAGTAATGCCCATCAGGAGCTGCTCAGATGGCTTAGTCAGTTAAGTGTCTGCCTTGGGCTCAGGTCATGATCTCAGGGTTCCGGGATCATGGAGCCCTGTTCTGGCTCCCTGCTCCCTCTGCTCCTCCCTGCTGCTTGTGCTCTTTCTCTCTGTTATCAAATAAATAAAATCTTTTTAAAAAGAGTTAAAAAATAATAATGCCCATCAGCATTTGAATATACAACACTTAAGTGTAGTGTTTCTGAAGTCAAACTGTCTGGTTTGATTCTCTGTTTCTTCACATAAAAAAATGCTACTGGGGCGCCTGGGTGGCTCAGTGGGTTAAAGCTTCTGCCTTCGGCTCAGGTCATGGTCCCAGGGTCCTGGGATCGAGCCCCGCATTGGGCTCTCTGCTCAGCAGGGAGCCTGCTTCCCTTCCTCTCTCTCTGCCTGTCTCTCTGCCTACTTGTGATCTCTCTCTGTCAAATAGATAAATAAAATCTTTAAAAAAAATGCAACTGACAGATGGGCTTTGAGATATACTATGTTTACTTTTCCTTTTCTATTTATCTTTTTTGTCCTTCCATT